GTCCTCAGCCAGAACCCCGGACAGTTGCAGGATTTCCCTTGAGTGCTTTCATGGCATAACTTGCATGCGTAAAAGATTGCGTAAGGCCCGATTAATGCAGCGGGATTATTCTCCAGATTAGACCCCGCATCCAATCCCTAATAGAGAGCAGTCACGGTCTCATTTCTAACTCTGCGGTGCAATAGAGGTGAAAGCCGACCTTTCTCCTGCGCCTGAGAGGATTATCTGCTATCAGAACAAATGAAGCTGCAAATGCACTCGGCCTAACAGCTCATTACGGCCGCAGGTGGACATCTGCGCGCTCCGGCTGACGACGGACAGACAAATGAGGAGATCAACAATGCACTATAGGGAAATTAGACAGGTTTACAGAGGAATGATGGAAAACGTGCAGCGGTTTATACTCAGATTGAGCGCTGTGATGATGGAAACAGGACAAATGATCATGATTCTGTTCTGTTGATCATGATTGCTTGGATTTGACTTTTAAAGGGCCGCTACTTTACCTGTTTTTCAGATTTAAGATAAGTCTTTTGTGTCTCCAGAATGTGTCTGTAAAGTTTCAGCTCAAACACCCATCAGATTATTTACATTTCAAGCTGTTTACACCAGACGCGGAACATGCGGATGATTTAGCTCAAGGGGAAGAAGAAGAATCCGAACAAACGAATCATCCAGCGATCGTTCAAACAGAGTTTACTTTAAATACAGCTATTGCTATCAAAATAAGAACTCATCTATGTTTAAGCAGGCTAGCAATCAATCAATAAAAGGCCTTTATTTGTCACATACACTTCCATGTAGTGAAATTGGACCCCCTCGACCATACACAAACATCACATTCAAGGGAGGACAGGTCAACGGGAGGTAGCATTTAGAAAAAGGAAGCAAGATACATTTTAGGAGAGGAAGGCGAAAAAAACTCCTTAAATTAGGGCAGTGTGAGATCAGGGTGAAAAAAAAGCCCCCCCGATACTTCCTCCTTCCCGCCCCCCACCCACCCCTGGGGTCTCCCGGATTTTCAGAAACAAATGATGACAGGTATGCAAGTCCTGAAAACACTCAACTTGCGCCGCTTCATTCATGTAAATCGAACCGCCTCATTTGCGCGTTGCCTGTGCCGTTAATGCTGGTTCTCCCCGCCCACTATTCCTGTCAGGGTGTGCCTAAATCTCCATATTTTTTGTGTGACAGACTTGTAGGAGATCTAACGTAACGTTTGTGAGAAATACTACAATAAGAACTTTCCTAATGATTATTTGATGTATTTGTGGTGGAGTAAATTCAAGCCTTTCTGCAATGATGAGTCACACAATGTTCTTAAAAAGTACACACACACACACACAAACACACACACACACACGTGTTTAACTTTGCACTGTTTTTGCACGCAAATGTGACAGGATACATGTTAATATCCACTGCTGTATGAAGACGTGAACTTTGAATTGGAACAGAACTTTGGCGACGGTTGATGACGTTTCACGAGGACACGAGAACGCAGGTACGCATATTGAGAAACAGCCTAGATATTCTTCAAGACACTAGTGTTCAGCTTAAAGTGGCATGTAAAGGCTTCACTAGGGTAATTAGGGTAAAGTTAGGGTAATTAGGCAAGTCATTGTATAACAGTGGTTTGTTCTGGAGACAATCCAACACTAATATTGCTGAAGGGGCCAATAATATTGAGCTTAAAACGGTGTTAAACAATTAAAAACTGCTTTTATTCTAGCCTAAATAAAACAAATCAGACTTTCTCCAGAAGAACAAATATTAGAGGAAACACTGTGAACATTTCCTGAATCTGTTCAACATCAATTCAACACCAGAGAGAGAGAGAGAGAGAGAGAGAGCTGTAGAGAGAGAGCTGTACTGTGCCTAAATCTCCATATTTTTTGTGTGACAGACTTGTAGGAGATCTCACGTAACGTTTGTGAGAAATACTACAATAAGAACTTTCCTAATGATTATTTGATGTATTTGTGGTGGAGTAAATGCAAGCCTTTCTGCAATGATGAGTCACACAATGTTGTTAAAAAGTACACACACACACACACACACACACGCACACACACGTGTTTAACTTTGCACTGTTTTTGCACGCAAATGTGACAGGATACATGTTAATATCCACTGCTGTATGGATATCTGTTATGCTAATGTACAGAATAAACCTGATTTAATGTCCAAAAACCGGAATTGAAGCTTCTTCTTTTTATAATTGTACTGTCATGCGGCTGTGCTGATGAAGATGCTAAAATCTCTGTAATTCAGTACAAACATGCTGATTTAGAAATGTTTTAAACTTGTGAAACTCACTCTTGATCACATTTGATGATGATTGATGATCACAGAGAGCGGAACAGATCTTTTATTCTCACTTGCTTTGCTTTGTTGATATGATTATACGCATTACTACGGAGACAGGCTAATTAACGGCTGTCAATCAATTCTGTGGGCAGGGAAACCGCATTCATACATCACGCTGCGGTGGGTCTCAGAATAGGAGGGATTTGGATCCTATTTTAACCTCAGGAAATAAAAAAAGAGACTTGCTGTGTTTATATCAGCCCAATATGACTGTAGACACACTATAATACACACAGCTCTGTCCATGCAGCTTACAAAAGAGGTGCTCTTTAAGGTTGCAAACACACATAAAACTATAAATATATAGAGTAGGAGTCAGAATTATTATTTTCACAGTATTTCCTCAAATATTTATTCTTCTGGAGAAAGTCTTATTCGTTTTATTTCGGCTAGAATAATTTTTTTTTTAAATCTTTGGGTTTATTAAGTGTTTGTCCCTCATTTAACTTTAACCAATTATTTCCTGTAGGTAATTTCTATTAACTGTTTTATTTACTCTTTGCCATGATGACAGCACATAATATTAGACTACGGCTGTTTGTTAATATTAAGTATGCAAAGTTCAGATTGGCGTCCTTGGAAGTTCAGACTTGAAAGAACGCACTCTCGAGGACGCAAGGACACAAGTCAGGTACTTCTTTAAATGGAATTGCAGTGTACTTTATAACGTCACTTAACTCACCATGGATTCATCAGTTTCACTGCACGACCCTGTAATTAATATTATATTGATATTATAGATTTACATTTTTTGATTTAAGAAAATTTACACATTATTTCATATAAATGTGAACTAAAATAAGTTATTATACACAGACATGTGTCTTTGATTATCAGATTTAATAAACAACAATGGTAATTATAAAACTATATATACAATAAGAAATAAAGATTATGTCTAACAGTTTGATAAACAAAGACATACCTCGTACAACACGGTACATAATTAAAGACAATTACAAAAGGTAACAAAATAACACTGGCAAAATATTACACCTGAGAACAAATAATAGATTTCAAGAGTTCACACTTAGCTGATGATTGATAATAAAGCTAGTTTGGCGTGCTGTCCCAGGAGAGAGCCCTGAGCTTATAAGATCCTCGAGCCCTGGGCTCCCTCCCGTTGCAAGGCGAGAGGGGAGTTTGAGCTCAGGTAGATCTCGATGACTCCCCCTCTTGCTTGTTGTAGCTAAATGTAAGATATGGATGCTGAAAGGTGTACTCAGAGTTTAGCTAAGGTATTTGGATTAATTGTTTAGGGTGCTTGTTTTTAAACTGTGGGAGGAAACCGGAGGACCCGGGGAAAACCCACGCGACCACGGGGAGAACGAGCAAACTCTGCACAGAAATGCCGTCTGGTTTGGAAAGGAATTAAACCAGGGGCATTCTTGCTGTGAGGCAACAGCGCTAATCGCTGGCCACCGTGACACCCGTTTAAAAGGAGGGAAAGTAGGGTTGGGTGGGGGGGTTTCTTTAAGACGAAGATATTGTCAAAAACTGAAAAAACTGAAAAATATCTAAAAACTGTCCATTAGATATGCACAATATGTATTAAACATTATGTTTTAACTACAATGAGAGATGAGATCCAGCGGTACATCCGAGATGGACTGGCCGAAGTAAAGCTGCTCTCGGTGGGGGAGCTGATGACGGAGCTCCTGCTGACAGGCTGGGAGTCAGAGTCTGCATAAGCTGAGGCACATGGTCAAAGACGAGCTATCTTTGTGAATAAACTGCCGATTCCAGTTTAAAACAACTACATTCTCGACTGAAAAACTCTTTAAACTTTTGTGACAGAGTAAAGGAGTATTTTTAAAACCGTGCGGGTTTTCTCCTCCGCCATTAGCGTTTGCTGATACCTGAGCTTCGCAAGTTCGCACAAGTCACCTCTCGATGCATCCTTGGCCAAATGGGCGGAGCCAGCACACATCCGGGAACTTTATCTGTACTTGGCAAGATGTGAACTTTGTATTGGAACAGAACTTTGGCGACGGTTGATGACGTTTCACGAGGACACGAGAACGCAAGTACAGACAAGAACACATATTGAAAATGATATTCTTCAAGACACTAGTGTTCAGCTTAAAGTGGCATGTAAAGGCTTCACTAGGGTAATTAGGGTAAAGTCAGGGTAATTAGGCAAGTCATTGTATAACAGTGGTTTGTTCTGGAGACAATCCAACACTAATATTGCTGAAGGGGCCAATAATATTGACCTTAAAAAGGCTTTAAAACTATTAAAAACTGCTTTTATTCTTGCCCAAATAAAACAAATCAGACTTTCTCCAGAAGAACAAATATTAGAGGAAATACTGTGAACAATTCCTGAATCTGTTCAACATCAATTCAACACCAGATAGAGAGAGAGAGAGAGCTGTAGAGAGTGAGAGCTGTACTGTACCTTGACTTCAGTCTTCTTGTTGAGCAGACTCTTGGCTGCTGCAGACGGAGAGAGAGACAGAGCAAACATCAGAACAGCAGCGACACAACATCACACAGCTGACGATCACACACACTGAACACACTCATCCCTCACTCACTGTCCCACAGCAGAGGATTAACACACACACACACACACACACACCTCACACACACACACCATTCAGGATTCTGTTTCAGTAGATCTAAAGCTTCATTATTTTAGATCAAGTTTATAAAACACTGAAAACTGCATCACTAAAATAAACAGAGATAAATGTAGCCAGCAGCAACACACACACAAACACACACACACACACACACACACACACACACACACACACACACACACACACACACACACACCCTACATCAACTCTACATCTGTGCAGAGAGAGACAGATACTGTACTCCTGACTTTAACCCGTGCAGAGGAGGAAAGAACTGAGAGAAAACAGAGAGAATCTTACCTTCATACAAATGTTAGACGCAGAGAGAGAGAGAGAGAGAGAGAGAGAGAGAGAGATGAAGAAAGAACAGATTAAGAGAGAACACTGCTAACAAATGCTTTCTCACTGAGAGTTTGTGTCTTGTTTCTAGACACCTACAAACTCTTCGCTTTTTTCCAGCTGCTGACACACAAACTCTTTTCTTGTCACACGATTTCTGAAACATCTCACTCCCAATGAGTCTCAGTGGTGTTGCAATGTGGCCTCACAGCATGAAGGTCTCTGGTTTGAGTCCCGGCTGGGTCAGTTGGTGTTTCTGTGTGGAGTTTGCATGTTCTCCCTGTGTTGGTGTGGGTTTTCTCTGGGTGCTCCGGTTTACCCCACAGTCCAAACACATGCGCTATAGGGGAACTGATCAACTACACTGGCCGTAGAGTATGAACGTGTGTGTGTGTGTGTGTGTGTGTGTGTGTGTGTATCCTAGTACTGGGTTGTGGCTGGAAGGGCAAGAGGGGTGCAGACCTGATGCAGTGCAATCTGAGCTGCATCCATTGTTTTTTAATGTGCTCACCTAACCCCACCCCTCGCAGTGATGTCACTCACTCCATTTGAGTGCATTTTGTCTGACACTGCATCGCTGAGTGATGCAATCTCAGCTTGCATCATAAAGGCTGCATCCAGGTTCTTTTGAGAAGGGCATCCACCGTGTAAAACATTTGCTGGAATAGTTGTCGGTTCATTCCACCGTGGCGACCCCTGATGAATAAAGGGACTAAGCTGGAGGAAATTAAAGGAAAGTGACAAACTTTATAATTTCTTGGTTAAATTCTCTGGAACTCTTTAGTCACAGGATTTATTAATTTTTCACACAATCAAATCAGGGTAAACTTTGCAGCGACTCCACAGATCATGTGTTCTAAATGGTGGTTCTTGGTTATTTATAATCCATCTCGATCTTATTATTGCAGATTTGCACATTGTGATGTTGAAACTCGATATACTGAGCAGCTCTGCTTCAAATGGACAGCGAGATTATTTCTCTTCCCCCATTGTCAGATTATTCGGCGTGTTTTAAGGAGGAGCTCACTTCATTTTGACTCAATTCTGAGAACAACATGATATTTTCTGCTCGTCTATAAAATGCTTCTTGATTTCAGAGTTTGGATATTTGGACTGAAAACAAGACACAAACTCTCAGTAAGAAAGCATTTGTTTGCAGAGAAGGAGATAGCGGCACGGCTTCAGGCATTTTCCAACACACACTCAGTAGTGCTACACATCTTTAGTCTGATGTCAAAAACACACCACCATTTCAAGCATTTTCCTTAATAACAAAAGTGCAGTGACACCTAGAGGTTACAACCCACACATGCGTGCAAACACACACACACATAGACAGAAAGAGTAGAGGCAGGTATCTGTGGGCAAAAGTTTACAAATAAAAACAAATAATGAGGATTAAAGATACGGCACCTATGATCTGTTATTTTAAACAGTGAAATATCAGTCATGTGTTAAATGACGCTGTTTCACATTTCAGAGATGAATACACACTCGACTAATCCTGCTACACACAGTGGTCTAGGTAGGTGTATTTTTAAAATGCAGCACATATTCCAGGATTGCTGCTGATTTAACACCTGAAATAAAGATATTTGTGAATTAATTGTTGCTAAATGACTAAATCTGAATATTCAGCATCCTAACTGACTGAATGGAGCAGGGGTGGCCAACCCTGTTCCTGGAGAGCCACCATCCGGCAGATTTCAGTTGCAACCCATATCAAACACACCTGCCTGTAATAATCACGTGGTGTTCTGGTCCTAATTAATAGGGTATATGCATAGTATGTAGTTACAATCATTTAAAAATGCAATCAGTAAAATAAAATTTGGCATTCATTTAGTTGCTCAAGCGTAAAATGGGACAAAAAGCTGTTTACACGCACTCGCCTGTAAATACTGAAATAGATTTAAAAAATCTGAATAAATACATTTATAAAAACACAATTATATATATACTGTGAAAATTTCCTTGCTCTGTTAAACCTTATTTGGGAAATATTAAAAAAAGGGCTAATAATTCTGACTTTAACTGTATATATATGTACATAATAATTTACTTTTTTTTTTTTTTTTTGCAATATTTCACATGATTTTACATGTATTGTCTTTCTAAAGATTTTGGTGAATAAAATGTTTTTTTTAAATCTTAAAGATTTATATATATATATATATATATATATCTGTTTAATAAATCAAATGCACCAAAATATATTGTCTATATTCACTGAGAAACTAATAAAAATAATCATTTTCAAAATGAGGTGTGTATATGATACAAGCCATACATAAATGTTATATAAATTTAAATACCTATGTGACAAAGCAAGTTGCATGTGTAGTTTTGCTTCTATGTATGTGTGTGTGTGTCTAACACATTTTACAGAGCTCAGCAGAATTGAGTACAGTCTGTTTTGGAGATGAATATTTTCCTGCATTTCTCAGTGAATATAGGCAGTGGATTTTACTGCATTTAAACAAAAAAAAAAAACAGATTAATTAAACAGATATATTTATCAAAATAACATTTTAGTCACTAAACATAGAGAAATTAAAAGATAATACAATTAAATTCAAGCAAAATACTGCACAAATAAATTACAACCTACAAAATTTCAACTCAATTTTTCCATTTTTTTTGCTTCTCCTGATTTTTTAAATTTGTATTTAATATTTTCCTATAACATAAATGGGGCTGTACTAGTGTTTGGAGCGTTATCTTGAGTTATTCTGTTAGATAAGCTCCAGATTTGGCTTCATCACTGACTAATCTAATGTATAATCACAAATATAATACTGTAGAGCTTCCTATTGAACATATTAATGTAAAAGAGAGATATGTGAGGGGTGAACTCGTATATGCTGCAGCACTGTGCAAAATCAATATGTCTAACACATACACACAATGTCAAAACAAACTTTTATTTTGAATCTGATTAATCATTGCCCGGCAATCCATATTAAATATTATTATACTGACAACCTGATAATCCTAAATCACTTTAAGATAACTCTTAATTAATTAAATAACTCTTAATCATTAAATCAAAATGCTGCACAGACGCTGGAATCAGACTGAAAGTCAAAAGCATTATTAAAAGACTCAAAGTCTTAAAGTCAGAATAAAAGTGTCAGAGACGCATGCAGTCGCTCATCATCAGCATCTCCATGCAGGAGCTCTCGTGCAAAAACCAGCAGGCAGAAAACCTACAATCAAGAGATCTACACTGAACACACTCAGGAGGAGAGAGAGAGAGCAATGAGGATGATGAAGATGCAGAGAGAGAGAGAGAGAGAGAGAGAGAGAGAGAGAGAGAGATACTCTAATGGTCATTCCCAAAGTGATTCAGCGCTGTATCCGTATCATGCTCCATTCTCCATGCTGAATATCAGTCATGATGAGAGAGGATGGAGAAATGAACAGATGCAGAGAGAGAGAGAGAGATAAATGGACAGATGAACAGTTTTGATGGCCGTTCACTAATGAATTATTCTTTTTAACCGGATCTTCTAAGTGAATCTGTCGAACTAGTTCACCAAATTGAACTGAATCATTTGAAATGATTCACATCTCCATTAAGCCCTTATCCAAAAAACTACCAAGGTAGCAAAGAATCGTCCGGCACTGGCATGCAGCATGTTTTGGCTGAGGTGGCACCGTCTTACAGACGGCACTCAAGACTTGGGCCAGATATCAAATGTAGTATTGGCCCAGATGTTAAATGTATATGTGGGCCACATAAGTTTGGTCTATCTTGACCCACATTCAAAAAACATTTCAATTATTTTTGAGCAAAGAAAAAATTCGATCAATAAAGTCGCTTCAAGGAAAAGCTCAGCCATAAAGCGAAACGCTTCATGGGTTTATAAGAAACATTGCAGTCGTGAGTCTCTGGCCCAGTTCAGGCCCAGTTATGGGTTATTAACTTGGCTGAGACTTGGCCCAGATATGTCCATGTTTGCCTCTTGTATGGAAGCCAGTCTTGGTCCAGTCATGTACCGTAATTCACAGCGGCATGTGGGCCAAGCACTTGCTGATAGCGTGGGCCAGAGATATTTTGTTATGGGGGTACTTACTTTTCAACATGCCTGATACTCTCTCTAACTCTAAATTAAACTATTTCCCTAGTTATTCAGGCACGATGACTCAGGAAACTGGTTTATTGATCTGAAATGTGTTTTACAATTAGGTTTTGCAAACCAAATGAAGCGTGATTCTCTTAGTATTACAGTTGCATGGGGATTTTCTGTTATGAAATGATCTTGAGTTTTCTTTCATAATGCAACTGTAATAGTAAGTGAATCATGCCTCATTTGGCTTGCAAAACATAAACCTTTCAGATCACGGTGATTTGTTACCTGACTGAAGATATGATTGCTGAATGCATATTTTTGATATGTGTACATGTCAACATTACAGGGTTGTCATTGCATCGATAACAAGTATGACGTTATTTGTAGCGTAAAACAACCTGTGATCCAGTTTTCTGAACCGCTTCATTGAAACAACTGTCCGAAAGATCCGGTTCAAGTTCTGAACTTTCCATCGCTAATGAACAGATAGATGGAGAGACATACAGATGGATGAAGACGTGAGGGACGAGGCTACCTTGTTCCACCAGACCGGTGGCTGCAGAGATGGTGGAGGGAGCCGTGGTTTGCCTGCCCACTGCCAGACACACACACACACACACACACACACACACACAAACACACACAAACACACACACACACACACACAGTTTAAGTCTGAATTATTCGTCCCCCTGTTTATTTTTTCCCCAATTTATGCTGAAAGGAGAGCAGATTTCATCAGCACATTTCTAATCATAACAGTGTTAATAACTCATCTCTAATAACAGATGATCATCATGATGACAGTAAATAATACTAGAATAGATATTCTTCAAGACACTACTATACAGCTTACAGTGACATGTAAAGGCTTCACTAGTGTAATTAGGGTAAAGTTAGAGTAATTAGGCAAGTCATTATATAACTATGGTTTGTTCTGGAGACAATCGAAAGAAAATCGCTTAAAGGGGCTAATAATATTAACCTTAAAATGGCTTTTAAAAAATTAAAAACTGCTTTTATTCTAGCCGAAATAAAACAAATTAGACTTTCTCCAGAAGACAAAATATTATCAGACATACTGTGAACATTTCCTCAATTTTTTCATCATCATTTGGGAAATATATAAAAAAAAAAAAATTCTAAGGTGGCCGAATAATTCTGACTTCAACTGAATGTGCATAGCTACACACCAGCGCTTCTGAACCGCACTGTAGACACTACAGCTAAACCAGCACACGCTAACACAAACAACACACACCCTAAAAACACCATACACTCTAAAAATAATTTGTGTTGCTTGTTCAAACTACTTATTTAAAATGTACAAACCTTCAAGACAGATCTGTACAAACCCAACAGATCACTCAGATCTTTAGGATCATATAAACTAGAAGTTCCAAGAGCTCAGTCAAAGCAGGGTGAATCGGCTTTTAGCCACTACACCCCTCGCTGCTGGAATCAGCTTCCAGAAATGATCAGATGTGCTCCAACATTAGGCACATTCAAATCAAGACTGAAAACACATCTGTTTAGCTGTGCCTTTACTGAATGAGCACTGTGCTGCGTCCGACAGATTGCACTATCATGTTTTTCTCTTCTTTTTCTTTTATATCACATTTGACCTGTTTTTATGTTTTGTTTTGTTTTTTATTATTTGTTTTTATTTTTATTTTACTTGTTTCTTTTATTCTTGTTTATGTAAAGCACTTTGAATTGCCATTGTGTATGAAATGTGCTATATAAATAAACTTGCCTTGCCTTAAAATGAGCTGAATCAACCAAGGTGACGCAGTGGCGCAGTAGGGAGTGCTGTCGCCTCACAACAAGAAGGTTGCTGGTTCAAGCCTCAGCTCAGTTGGTGTTTCTGTGTGGAGTTTGCATGTTCTCCCTGCATTCTCGTGGGTTTCCTCCGGGTGCTCCGGTTTCCCCCATAGTGCAAACACATGCGGTACAGGTGAATTGGGTAGGCTAAATTGTCCGTAGTGTATGAGTGTGTGTGTGAATGAGTGTGTGTAGATGTTTCCCAGAGATGGGTTGCGTCCGCATCCGCTGCATAAAAACATGCTGGATAAGTTGGTGGTTCATTCCACTGTGGTGACCCTGGATTAATAAAGGGACTAAGCCGACAAGAAAATGAATGAATGAATGAGCCAACTATGACGATTTCTGCTGCTGAGTGAAAAGGGTCCATTCTTGATTTTTTTGAGACAACTTCATTCTTTTATGTTCAATCCACTTAATTTTGTAAAAACTATTAAACTAACCTAATCGATTTGTGTTGGGACAACATGAAGGAATAGTGTGAAAGCCAGCGTTTCATACAGTGTACACAATTCATTCATGTTGTCCCAACACAAATCATTAAAGCTAACTATTCAATACAGTGCAGTACTGTCACATAACCAGCGATCGATCTCAAGAGATCGCTAGTTCTCACACGAACTCTTAGAACTACATTTCCACATTTCCCAGGACTACATTTTCATACATGCACTGCTCCCAGACACCCATGCTGACACATCTAGCTTGATTGCATTCTCACCGGCTGAACCTTGTCATAGTCTGATATCACACCACCTATAAGCCACTCATGAACCAAGTTTGCCGAGTCTTGTTTTCCCAGTGTGACATTACAACGCGTTTCTCCTTGTCTTGTTTTCTCCGTGTTTAGACCCTAGCCTTGTTTACCCTTGTTCTCTAGTTTAGCCGCCTGCCTTTCTGGACTGCCTTAACATACCCGTTTGCACCTGTATGACCACTGCTTGCCTGACGCTGAATAAACCTGCATATTGGATCTTACCTTCTGTTGTGAGTGTCACTCCCCCCAGTCGTTACAAGTACATGCGCAACAAACACTTTAAGGACTGACGGAAATGATCAAGCAGGCCCTGACAACCAGCTCTAAATTAAGCGGCATAATGTGGACCAGGTAAATAGAGAGACACATAATTAACCAAGCACATTTAAAACAACCAAAGTCAGTATAAATGAACTCATGATCCAAAATAAAGAGACGTTTATTTATAAACTAATTTAAAGAGGATCACGTGCTTCTGATTTATCACAGCCGGTCTCGTATTAGCTAATCATGATCTTCCAGTCATATGGTTCCTAAATAACCTCAGTCTTCAGTCTACTTTATCTTCGTTCGGAAGAAACCCCCCATCCTCCCCATTTCTCCTCCTTTATCAGATCGGGCGGCACGGCGGCCCAGTGGTTAACACTGTTAGCCCCACAGCAAGAACACTGCCAGCCCTGCTCCTGTTTGTATATGAGGAGTTTGTATATTCTCCCCGTGTCCGTGTGGGTTTCCCCCGGGTTCTCCGGTTTCCTCTCACCATCCAAAGATATACATTATGCATTACAGATTTAGCAAATCAGGCACTTGTCTAGTTCCCTTCTTCTCACGTGTTCCCTTAGCTACTGCAGCCGGGGATTCTGAGATCCACCGAGCTCAAGCTCCCCTCTCGCTCTGCCAACAGGAGGGAGCCCTGGGCTCGAGGATTCCTTGAGCTCAGGGCTCTCTCCTGGGATGGCATGCTAAACAAGCTTTTGATGGATCATCAGCCAAGTGTGAACTCTTGAAGTAATCAAAACGCCAGGCAGGAAGGTCGAGCTAAGCTCTCTCTCTCTCTCACATCATGTGTTGGACTCTACAGGCACCACATAATGATGACCGACCCACAGATCAGCAAGCATGCAGGCTCTGCAAATCACAAAAAAAGAAGCAAAACAAACAGGTCCAGCATGGGAACCAACACAATTAAGTGGACTAAACCGAACACAATTAAGTTGTCTCCCAACAAAATCTCCAGAATTGTGTTGTTTCAGCTCATTTTAAACCATTAAACAAGCAGCAGTAATACTTTAGGAGTGTGCAGGCTTTGAAAACACTTAGAAAATGCTGAAAATGTCACTTATAATTAAAAAAACACCATTGCAGAAAATCATTAGCTCAGAGAAATGACTTAGCAAGTCAACTCTTCTAGTTTGTGTCACTTTTTAACCTGCAGACGCCGCTCTGTGCTTGTATTTAATGTATTAAACACAAAACCATGTAAACACAGGGTAAAGTCAGTACTGCATCTGTTATAAATGCTCCACTGACTATTTGTAAAGCTTCAATGAGCATCAATAAAATCAAACTGAATCAAATCTCACTGTGAATCGAATCATTCATCGATGTGCAGTCTATGGTTTATGAATGATTTGCACATGAAAAGATTCACTTCTACATTTAATTCTCCTAATCTCCTAAATCTCCAAACCCTCAGCAGAGAAATAAACTTTGCTGATTCTCTCATGCACATTTGAACTGAGAGCCTCTTTGCATGACTTTCTGGTGTTTTTCTCGAGTTTTGTGCATGGTTGAGAAGCACTGCGGAGACACTGAGAGAAGAGGACAGATGAGATCATTAGCTGCTGTCAGAGAGGATTACAGTGTTCATCATACAATAAAGATTCATCTGTCAGTCTGAAATAAAGAAGACTCATTTTGTTGACTCATGACTCTCCTCAAACACACACACACGCACGCACGCACGCACACACACACACACACACACACACACACACACACACACACACACACACAGCTCTCATTAAAGGGATGGATTGTAAACTACACATTAGTTCTTCTGAAAGAAAAACAGGTTAATCTGCAATCTTTGGTTTATTTACTGCAGTCGAACAAACAACAGAGTCTGAATTATGAACACAAGAATCAGTCAAGATGCACACACTGAATTCACACAACCCACTTATTAATTATGCAAATAAATGCTTTAAATTAAGTAACCATGGACTAATGCATGTTAAAAAATAAACACTTTAAAGCAACAGAAAAATAAATAAAAATACACTGTTCAGAATGTGCTATGCAGGGCCTTTTGCTTAGAGTGCAGTATACACATACACACATGAACACACGCAAGCACGCACGCACTCACACAAACACACAGACACACACACTTGTACTTAAAAACCTCATAAGACAGTTAATGTGTGCTGGTAATGTGTTTAAGGTATAATGTGTTTTTGATTATTATTAATTATGTATAACCCTAAACATTATATATATATATATATATATATTTGCGGTGGTGTTGGTTTTACTAGTTAACAGTCTCTTATAAAACTATTCTAATAAATTAAATTGCATTTTATATAAAAAAAAATAAATTAAAAAGAATAAAACATTAAATTCTGTTAAATAAAAAAAAATTAACCAAATTAAATAAAATGAATACAAATTTAATAAAAATAAAATCAAATGCACGGTACATCAAATAAAATAAAATGTGCTGCCTCTAAAATAAAATAAAAAAAGCAACTTGACGCTCTTTTATGCTGCAATTTACTCATTTAAGTATAGTTTACAGCTTTAAATTTTAACAAAAAATATATATATTCATCATAAATCCCAACAAGAAAATAAGAAGACAGTGGAAAAAACTATATAGTGATGAGAGACTTATTTTGAAAACACAATTGCATTAATTTGATCAGCACATATAAGCAGTTTTAACCAGAAATAAATCTAATAAATAACTAAATAAATGATAAAGGAAAACATTATAATAATACATAAAGAAAAATAACAATAAAGAAAAAAGAAAGAAAGAAAGAAAGAAAGAAAGAAAGAAAGAACAAATAAAGAAAAAATAAATGAAAAATGAAAAACTAACGAAAAAATAAAGAAAATGTAAAAAAATATTTAAAATATAAATAAATTAATAAACAATTAATAAACAACAAATAAATAAATAATAAAGGAAAAAATTATAAAAAATATAATAAGAAAAGAAAGAAACAATGAAGAAAGAAATAAAAGAATAAAAAAGAAAAAAAAGAATAAATTATAAATATAAAAGAAATAATAAATAAATAAAAGAAAGAAAGAAAGAAAGAAACAAAAAATAAAAATAAATAAATAATAAAGAAAAAAAGAAAAATAATAAAAAAGAAAAAACTAATTAATAATAAATATAAAATAAATAATAAAGAAATAAAAAAAAGAAAGAAAGAAAGAAAAAAAGAGAAAACAAAGAAAAATAAATAATAAATAAATAATAAATAATAAAGAAATAAATAATAAAGATATAAAAGAAAAAAATAATAAAGAAAAATGATAAAGAAAAAAGAAAGAAAAAATATATAAAGGACAAAATTAAAATAATAATAATAATAATAATAATAATAATAATAATAATAATAATAATAATATTAATAATAATAATAAAGAAATAAATTACATATAAAGAAAACAAATTCACACAAACACCCCCCTCTATGCTTTCATTTTTCCTTATGCAAATTGCTATTTTGGCTTTCCTTACAACAAAAATTAATAATTTGCTCTTTTTTTTTCTTTTTTTTTGCAAATTTAAAACTAAAAATTAAACTGAGCTTAGAAAAAAACATTCAAACCAGCAAAACATTAAAACTAACAGAGACAGACAGAATCAGACAGGAACACTGTCGTTCGCCCACTAGCCTGCTGCTGTACTGTGTGTGTGAGAGTTTGTGTGTCATTGTTTGATGCATGCATGCTGTGTGTGTCATTGTTTGATGCAATGTTCGTGTGCATGTGTGTGTTAGTGTGTGTGCATGCATAAGTGTATATAGATGGGATGCATGCATGATACAGTATGTATGTGTGCATGTGTTAGTGTGTGTGTGTGTGCGTGCATGTGTTAGTGTGTGTATGTGTGTGTGTGTGTGCATGTGTTAGTGTGTGTTTGTGTGTGTGTGTGTGTGTGTGTGTGTGCATGTGTTAGTGTGTGTGTGTGTGTGTGTGTGTGTGTGTCTGAGCAGATGTTTCACTACAGCAAAAATAAATCACGTTATGATAAATGCCACTGATCAGACACAAATGTTCAGAAAACGTGAAAAACACCACAATCATCCCTGTGCACTTAGATTTATTTCCAGAGAGATCACATACACACACTTCACACACAGCGGCAGGATTTGATAACAGATGTGTAGCTTTGAGATCATTAAACCTCAACTCATTCCTGATCTTTTACACAATATAGGGAATTTTTAGTAATAATAAAGTATAATAGAATAAGATTAATAATAATAATTAAGGTGTAAAGCAATGCAACAGGAGCTTTTTGATGTGCAATATATTTAAATGCATTAAAACAAAGTATAAAACCATTAAAAACAATTTAAAAAGCTATAGACAAATACTGTTTTTCTTTATAAAGCCTGGGATGTATTGCGCAAGTTGAGTCTTTTTTTTTTGTTTAGTTTTTTTTTTAGAATTTGTTCATGCATGTAACATAAATAAAAAATGTAAAAATAATAAAATAAAATAATAAAATAAAATAAAATGCATTGTGTGAAATATAAAATAATTTCATTGTATGTAAAATGAAATAAAATGTAATGTATAAACATTTAAAATAAAATAAACAAATTCCACTGCATATAAAATAAAACACATTAATAAAAAATAAATAAATAAATTTTATTGTGTGTATATATATGTATATATGTATATATATGTATATATATATTATTTTATATAAAATAAAATAAAAAGCACTGCATGAAATTTACAATAAAATAAACAAATTGCATTGTAAAATAAAACAAATAAATATATTGCATTGCATATAAAATAAAATAATACATTGTGTGAAATATAAAATAAATAAATTCCATTGTTTGTAAAACTAAAATAAAACGCACTGCATAAAATGTACAATTAAATAAACAAATTGCATTGTAAAATAAAATAAAACACATTGTGTGAAATATAAAATAAATAAATTTAATTGTGTGTAAAAGAATGATATATATATTAGGGCTGTCAAAATTAGCGCGTTAACGCATGTGATTAATTTGAAATATTTAACGCGTAAAAAAAAAAATAACGCAGTTGCAGTTTTGTTATTTCCTGTTGTGGCCGATGTGTGTTCGGGGCCGGCGTGTCTATAGAGGCGACCTAAATGTCTGCCTTGGGCAGCAGAATAGTGAGCGAACCCCCTGGTCCTCACTTTCATCCACTACACCCACCCGCTCCCTCACGGTCCTCGGCCTTCCATATGAATAAAACGGCGTGATTGCCATTTGCGTATCGCCAGTTCAGCTTGCTCTGGCCCTGCGTGT